GCTTCCCCCCCCCCGAAAAAACCGTTGTCCGCAAATCCGGACGACCCGGACCACGGACGTCCGAGGAGACGTCTGGGGGAGACGACCGACTCCCGTCCCGCCTCCTCCACACCTCTCCCCGCCTCCGCACTCCTCCGTCTGCCGCCGCCAATCTCCGCCCGCCACCTCCTCCCGCCTCCGCCCGCCACCTCCTCCCGTCTCCACACGCCACCTCCTCCCGCCTTCACCCGCCTCCTCCTCCTACCTCCGCCCGCACCTCTCCCTGCCTCCACACGCCTTCGTCTGCGCCAATCTCCACCTGCCACCTCCTCCCACCTCCACGCGCCACTTCCTCCCTCCTCTGCTCGCCTCCTCCGCCCGCCTCCTCCGCTCGCCTCCTCCTCCCGCCTCCACCCGCACCTCGCCCCGCCTCCGCCTGCCTCCGACAATCTCCGCTCGCCACCTCCTGCCGCGTCTACACGCCACCTCCTCCCTTCTCCCCATGCCACCTCGTCCCGCCTCCGCATGCCACCTCCACCCGCCTTCTCTTCCCGCCTCCGCCCGCACCTCTCCCCGCCTCCGCACCTCCTCTCGCCTCCTCCCGCATCCGCCCGCACCTCTCCCCGCCTCCGCCCTCACCTCCTCCCGCCTCCGCCCGCATCCGCCCAACCCCACTCGTAATCAATCAATCAATTAATCAATCAATCAATCAATCAATCAATCGATCAGTCAATCAATCAATCAATCAATCAATCAATCAATCCGTTGATCGCGACGGATCGTTTCCTTCAAGATCCATCGATATTGATATCGACGGATCTGGAAGGAAACGATCCGTCAAGATTGATTGATTGATTGATTGATTGATTGATTGATTGATTGATTGATTGATTGATTGATTGATTGATTGATTGATTGATTGATTGATTGATTGAATGTGGCGTGGGGGCGGGCAAAAGGCGTGCGAAAATGATSTTTGTGAATCAAACAATCAAKCAATCAATCGTTGAATCAAACAATCAATCAATCAATCATTTCACAAACCCCCCCAGTACTAATTCTTTCTAAAAAGTGCTCTGTTTCACGTTAAATTTGGTGAGGGGGCCCCCCTAAACCAGCGCAAGACAACCCTTTTTTCTTTTTTTTTTTTTACTTTTTTTCCCCCCGAAAAAAAACGTTTTTCGGAAATCCGAACGACCCGGACCACGAAAGTCCGAGGAGACGTCCGGGGGAGACGACCGACTCCCGGACCGTTGGTAACCTAGATTTTTTTCCACTTTTTGAATAAGACTTATATCATGGTGCTATGGTAAATGTTTCTCATAAAGAGATGCTGCACAACATAATTGGTTTTTATATATTTTTAGGTTTCTTTTGTTTTTTCGCCACCCGAGC